TCCTAGAAAAAAATCAGTAGTGAATTATTTTGCTAAAGAACACCCTTCTCCTCTAAACAAACCCAGCCTACGTATGTCCAACCAAATGTATTTTCTTTCCTGTAGGATGTAGTGTGTGGCTTCTGTTGACTTCAAATGTCATCCATTCCCTCCTCTCCCCTCATTCAGGTGAACAACTTGTGCTGGCACATGACATGTCTCGTATGCAGTGTATGTAAAACGTCACTGGGGCGACACGTGAGCTGTTATGTGAAAGACAAACAGGTTTTCTGCAAACTTGACTACTTCAGGTGTGTTGGTGCTAGCAGTCTTTGTTTTCAGAATTTCATTGAACAATATTGTTTGATTAGCAAAACAAAGAGATGTTTAAGCTAGCCACAAATGTGTGTTTGGTGCATTCAAATAATCAGGAGGCAGGAATTGTTCTCCTATAAATTCTATGTTGCATACTGAAAACTAAAGTGACTAAAATGTCAGGGTCTAATTGTATTTTTATTGTTTTTGTCCAATGAAAAACATGTTTGCACACAGTAATCATTGTAAACAGTGCTGAAATTGTTGTTTTTAACCAAGTTGCTAAAATATGGATACATCCCTGTGTTTCCATGATTAACAGCCTAAAAGTGAAATGCATCTTATGTGTAAAAGGAATTTTAACATGGCTAAATATTTCAACCATTTCCCTCGCTTCTTATTTTCTTTCATCTAGGAGGTACGGCACTCGTTGTGCGCGTTGTGGCCGGAACATCCATTCTACTGACTGGGTGCGCCGTGCAAGAGGAAGCACCTTCCACTTGGCGTGTTTCTCCTGCTCCTCTTGTAAGCGGCAGCTCTCGACTGGAGAGGAATGTGGACTGGTAGAGAACAGGGTCTTCTGTCGAAGTCACTATGACATAATGATGGAGAGTCTCAAACGCGCTAAAGAGAATGGTGAGCATACAAATGGAATTATGCTTGAGAAGTGAGTTAAGATAAATAGTTGATTCTCTTAAATAATTTGGTGCAATATATGTTACAAATACACATTCCTCAACTTGCAAGTATGCTAAGCAATAATATGGATTGTGGGAGTAACTGCATTTCTTTCAATTGATCTATTTTGCTGTGTCTTCTTCTAAAGAGCAACCAAAATTGGACGATGACCTGGCCAACCAAGACGATCCGAGTGCAATTCCCCGACCAGCAAAGAGGGCCAGGACCAGCTTCACTGCTGACCAGTTACAGGTACTTTTATCTGGAAGTTGTGGTCCACTGAACCATTTTCTCATGAATAGAGAAAAATTAAGAATTGATGCGATCCATCCATTAAAAATGTCCTTTAAATTAAGACATTTTGAAATGCTGATTTTGTTTTTTTCTTTTTTCTTTTTTTTTTATTACCCAAAAACGTTTTACTGGGAGCAGCAACAATTCCACACAAAATGTGGAGATTTGAATTATTGCATCATATTTTTTTATCAGAACATTTCCTTCTTGGTGATAATGAATGTAAACAGAAGTCTCTCTTAGCATTATAAATCACAAGATCCAGAGGTGTGTCTAGCTTGTCCTTCAGTGTATCTACAGATAATTTTGAAAACAGATTAACCGTATATGTTCAATAAAATCTGATAAGTGTTTACTAAAACTTTCTCTGCCACTCTTTTTGTAGGTGATGCAAACCCAGTTTGCTAAAGATAATAACCCAGATGCCCAGACTCTGCAGAAGTTAGCAGAGAGGACAGGTCTCAGCCGCAGAGTAATTCAGGTAATTTTATTACACATATTCAAAATGACCATTTTGGACTTTATACACATAATAAGTCTCTGTGTAAAGGCAGTCATGTCTTAGCTTAACTTAATTTCCCCGTCTTCAGGTTTGGTTTCAGAATTGCCGAGCTCGTCAAAAGAAACACATCTGCCCAATTCAGCCTTCTTCAACCATGATGACATCACTTGGTCCTAGTCAGCTTACTCCACCTTTGATGGAGGACCTACAATATACATCCTATCTTTCTCCTGACACACCACTTCTCACTACTCTGACTTATATGGAAGGTAATGAAGATATGCAAACTGTCGGCACTATTCTAAACTCCTACTGATAAAAACAACCAACAGATCTATATGTTTCAACTACATGTCATGAGATGGTCTTCCTCTTACTGGATTTGGCTAATATTTATTTATTTGAAACAAACAGTATTGTTTCTTGACACCCACATCTGGCAAATTAAAAGCCAATCACGATTAAATGACAATTTTGCTTTCTGATTCTTAAGTTGACACTCGTTAAATCTGTTTTCTTTGTTTCTTTGTCTTATTTTTTTTATTTTTTATTTTTCCTCACTTTTCCAGTTCAAACTCCGGACCAGCTTCTGCTTCAGCCGCTCATGTCAAATTCACTGACACAGCTCCCAATTGGCCACTCCTGAATACCATTACATGGAAAATGAGTCTAAGAGGTTGAAGAGATGCATCAGTGGAAATCAGTTTTTTGTCTAGAAAGTCTTTACAAGTCTGTAAGGGGTGAATGGGTAACTACCGTATTAAATAAGAGCACTAAACTGCCTATTTCACTTGGTCACTGCAGAATAAAGGGAGAATAAACTGGTAAAGTCAATGGATTAATTTAACTTATTCATGGAGTCACATGAGAAGTTGTTAAAATATTAATGTTTTCAAGATGAAACTTCTGTTTATATGTATGTTATGAATTTTTGTGTCTTTAATTTATCAGAATATATGAAATCTGGCACTTTGTTATTGAATATAAAATTACTTTATATATATTTGCTTTTTGCTAAGAATGTAAAGAGAATGTCAGCAGTTACAATGTGGAAATTAAATGGTTTGATTTTTCTTCGTATTGAAACTGTGTCAGCAGTTACTGGACTATGTCGCACTACAAATTGAAGAATGTTCATGAGGAGAAAATTAAATTTCTGTTTTTCTTTTCAAAACTGGATCTGTACAATGCATGAGCAATTAACAGAACAACAAATTTAGGCTCGGTTTATTTGGCAAAGATTGTTTTAGAGTTTTATAACGGTTGGCTAATGTATTCCAAGTGTCATATATTTGCGTCGTATATATTAATGTAATGATCAGTCAGTTGAACAGGCTCTTTGGCTGCAGATTCTTGCAGCAGACACAAATTACATTGCTTAAAGGGTAAAAAAAACAACAAAATTGTAACAAATTATAACATCTTTTCTTGTTGTCACATTACTTAACATTGTTATTGAATTTCTAATTTTGTGCAGCCCTGTCTCATAGTCTATCCATCCAGATTTAAAGTTCCTAATCCTTTAAAGTGTGCAAATTGAAGAACAAAAGCTGAATGGTTAAAATAACTTCCATGTGAAAAAGCTCTTTTTTTAAAAAAAAAAAAAAAAGCTGGTGATATGTATTCAAGCCATTGCAATGCATACCAGGAATTTAATGACATTTACTCTGGATCAGAGATGGTGGGATTAAGGTTTTTATTTTTTTTTTTATTTTTTATTTTTTTATAAATTAAATTCCCCTGAGAATGCAGCTGTGAAATTAATGTATTTGCACTAAAAAGGCACAAATTGTCTCTGTTGCTCCAATCCAGCCAATGAACAACTTTGTAAACTCGAGTACTTGCTAAATGATAAAGTAAATATTAATTTATTAAAGATTAATTTTGTTTCAGAAATACTTACTGAATATTCATACATGTTATACTTGGTTGAATCCCATGATAAAAATTGTGGCTAAGATATCAAGTGTTGGTCTGATAAAAATGACTCAATATACAGCAAATCTTGCATGCATGTAATACCAAAACAAAGCACTGTTGTGGTTTGAATAAATACCTTAACACTGGAAAATCTACTGAAAAATGTAAAATCAGATCTTTCACTGTGATTGAACTTGAAAGGCAGATAGAATGATCAAAGCTTTATAGTAATAAGTGGGTGGACATAACATCCATTTGACTACATATCTCATTTTACGAACAAAAAATATTTTTACAATGTTTAAGAGAAGCACTAAATGTTCATGTAAACAGATTTCATGCTGTTTTATTAAATACTTTTTTATGTTTGTATATTAAAAGTGCTTATAACCTATTTACTTGATTAAATCCAATATATTAAACACATGGAACTGATGTGATTTTATAAGACAGAATAAATTAGTAAATATTAAAATGTAATAAATTGATTTGTATATTTTATAGAACAGGTAAAGATACAGGTAAACAGACAGAAAATCTTTTTAAAAAATTGAGACCTTGGGGGTTTAGGACAAATCTTGATATAAGCAAATGGCAGTTTTTCATAGATGAACAGACCTTTGAAACTTTGAAAACTTGTATCCATATATATATGTTCTCACTTCACATTTTTGTATCACTTTGTTTTGGTCAATAAAATTCCCCTAAATATACAGTAAACAAAGTAAACGTTTGACCGATGTTTTAGCAACACTGTTTTCTTTCTGAATGTGGATAACGAAAACTCAACAGGAGCCCACTGTCATTCATGTGGATAAAAAAGAATAAGGAAGACAAAAGGGCTTGGGAAATCAAAGTATTTTTTATTTTAATGTAACACAAACCTTTCTTTTCCCTGTATTCAATCGTCTGTGAGACTTATTTGTGTAACTCCGCATCTCTTCTTTCTCTTTGAATAAAAAAATAGACAACCTGGAGAGACCATAGGTTCTTGAGAGAAAAATAAAAATTACAACACTCCGTATAAAGACATTTCACGGAAATCAGCGCCCTCTGGTGGATGGTGAGAGTAAAAAAAAATGAATCTGAGTACTCAAGTTTCTATCTTAAAGGAAATGTCCACATCTTTATATAAAAACAAATGCTTTATGACCACATTTTATTGTAAGATATATGTACCTCATTCCTCCATATTCCGTCGTGAATGTTTTGTTGTTTTCGCTGATACTGTTTTCTGATGCTCGGAAAAGATTACGTAATCTCTTAGTTTTATTTTGAAAACATATCCGGAAGCGGGGTTTTATCACTTGGCATGCGCAGTTCACAAGGAGGAAAAGCTTCAGTGGGTATCAGCAGTTGAGAACTGTAAACACTAGCTTCCAAAGCTACTTCTCTCTCAGTCATTGGGATGGAAATATAAGGTAAGTCCGCTCTTAAAATACTCAGTAGCGTATTGTGATTTTATTTTTTCGTTACGTCGTGTACAAATAGCTTATACAAACCTTGGCACACAGTTTATTCAGTGAGGTTTTGTCCTAATCTATAGCTAAGGCGTGAACGGCCACATATGTATAAACTTGTAAGCTAACCGTAAAGGTCTGCTCCAATAGCAATCAAACCATCTCGCTGTAATAAGTTGCCTCTTGTACAGTGACAACATGTACCGGGGAAGTGCTTTTTATAACGCTAGCTCCTGCTTCTCCCAAATACTGGGGGAGTTAATCAACGTCAGTCAGCAAGTGTTGCTTCGTTTATTCTAGTTTTCTATAAGAAACATTGGCTTTAGATAGTTACCCAAACCATATTTATACAGTAATATTTTGTGCAGTCTGAAAATGACCGATATTTCATTAATAGCTTTCTGTTTTGCGGATTTTAGATAAACTAATAGTTAACCTGTGTTAGCTTAGCTACGTCGGTAAAAAAAAAAAAAAAAAAAAAGAACATTTCATATTACTGGGCGTTTTTTTTATGTACATCCCCCTCCCCATCTTATTTCTAAGGGGGCTTTCTCAGTAAAATTTCTACAATGAGGTAATAGATGCGCTAAATCCGACAGACTTGTTTTCCTTTGTGGTCCTAGGAGAGATAAACATACAAAACAGAGAACAATCAAAACTATTACACATAAATGCAGAGTTTATGAACTGCATTTGTTATTTCATAAACGTACACAATGCAAACATTGCTTAAATTCAGATATAATTGATTTTTTAGAAATGTCCCCTAACGTACCTTGATACATTATAACAGAATTTTAAACTATGGCGCATTTTGTAAGTGATTTTAAAACACAAAGGTGGGTGAAATGAAAAGATTAATGTCTATGTTGTTGTCTGTGTTGACAATTTAATAATTTATCCTTCCCCCTTTGTTTTTATGAGGCTACAACACCTTAGTTGTGGTTGAAAAAAAGACAATTTTCTATAATATTCAGAAATTCACAAATCTCCTGCTGTTCTTGATGCCATACTTCGAAATACTTTCAGCTATAGACAACATCCTTAATAAACACTCATCCAAATTGGGTCTTTCATTTGTCAGTCTGCTGTAGCTTTAAATTTGCACGCCATTTTTAAGATGGTTACTGCACTGCGTTATGGTAGTTTATGGACAAAACATTATATCGTAGCTAAATATCAACGCTTCAGACTGCCTTGTTATTGGTTAACGTCGCAGTTAATAAATATTGTAAAGTTTTTTGGGGCTTTCTATTTCAATGAAGTCCATGTCTGACTGGACTTTGTGTGTCTGCTGCTGATGTTGACTAGAACTGTATTGTTTTGATGCAAGAGCAGAACTGTAAGGGAGGATTTTAATGCTGAACATGACGTGTCATAGCGACAAAATGTGCTCAACAGAATGGCGAGCGCAGTCGGGAAGGTTTCTTTCAAACGGAGATGAGTTTGATAGCGTTATGTTCCAAAGGCCTGCTCTTCAGGGTTGTGAAAAAAGAATTTAAAAGATGACGTGTGTTTTCAAGAGAAAATATCAATGCAGAAACTATTTGCATTTAAGTTTTAGCAAAAATGTTGAGCCTTGATGAACAACAGATTGTGATTTGCTCTGCTGTCTTTACAGGGTGACGTGAATCAGATATTGTTCTTCAGTGCATGGACACAAAGCCAATGCGCAGGTAGGTGTAAATGTGCATAATTATTTTTCTGCTGCCTCTGGACTCTAGAGCGTTGTCTGAAGACCACTTGACTGTATTGATGCAGTTTGATAATTAAGATTTAAATCATCGTTGCTCTCTCCAACATAGTTCTGACAGTTTTAAATAGCTTCTCGGTACTGATTCAGACATCAACATATTAGCCATGATTGATTTATGGGGGAAAAGTTAATGGCTTTACATTCTGGAATGGAACAAAAAACATAGATTTTTGTCTCCACATTTCGCTGTTGTGATAACAGTGTATGCAACGCACATTACAGTGAAGAACTTCCATAAATATTTGCTATATATAACGATGCCTGGAATATAGTCAATGACACAAGTAGTTTAATGCGCATCATTAAAAAAGTACAACTAAGTTGTTTCAATGCGAAACAGCAGACGTCAGCCTAGACGACTCGTCTGTCTGAAAGGCTCATTTATTGAGATCTGTTTGCTAGCAGGAAGACAGTAAAACCTTTTTAATTCCTTATTTACTGCAAGTCGTATCGCCGCTATCCCAACAGTCACCAACGTTATCTCGCGTCTCATTTTTTTTTTTTTTTTTTCCTAATATCGTTCAGCCTTATTGACTCGGTTGAGGGTTGAGTTAGAACAGGAATGTGGTTACACACACCCACATGCTATGAATAAACTATTGCCATCACCATGACTGGAAAAAGAACTTGTTGGATTACCACGTGTGCATGAGGTTTAAGAGGCAACAGACGTGAATTGGCAAGAGGGGGTGGAGTACCACAATGTCAATAGTTTTAAAGTTACAGATGTATTTCTGGAGATCCGTTTTATTTAGGATGATTAGGACTGAGTGTAGGTACAGTTCCTTGCAAAATTGCTTTCGTCTCTGCAACTTTTTTAAATTTATTTATTTATTTATTTTACATCTCTTCACTTTACGTTCACTAGCTTCAACATACTGTGAGTCTTGTTTGATAGGCGAACACAAAGTACAAATGTCGAATTGTAAAGGTGATCATAATATTGAAGTAGAAATAAAACTCGGATAGAAAAGTAAGAATTTACAGTCACCTTAACATATTATATTACATCCACTTGTGTGTAATTTGAACTCGGTGAACTCAGAGAGCACAGCTGCTCTCTGAAGGCCCCAGAAAATTGAGAGAGAATGTTGGTAAAGACGAAAGGGCACATCTGACAGGTCAGGGATAAACTTATGAAGAAGAGTAAAGCAGGATTAAGCTCCAAAAACCAGGTTTAACCATCTGTCAGTCCAAATGATGGACTGACATCAGTGGTCAGTCCATCATTTGGAAATGGAAAGAGTCATAAGACACGAGTCCAAACTTTGCTGTCCAACTAAACTGATGAGCCAGGAGAAAAAAAAGAGCATTGATCAAAGAAGCAACCAAGTGAACAGTTAAGTGGTGAATAAAAATGTGTCTAACATTTTTATTCTAGTCGGCTCGTTGCTTGTATTTTTCAAATATCAGCTACTTTGTGTCAGTCTGTCATAAAATACATTGATGTTTCTGGGTACATGACGTGACTCAATAAAACAAATCGAGGAGTATAGATATTATTGCAACAGACTTTAAATGTAGTGAGTTGTTTTAACAGCAAAAACTAAGTGCTCTAAGCCTGTAAACGACAACTTATGTCTGTAATGTGTCTTCTGTTTTGAAGACGTAATGAAAGCATCCAAATTGAATTGAAGTTTCAGGATTGCCCCCATCTCTAATGGATTTGTCCCATCCAACGTCGCATGGTAAACTTTCTAATCACATTCGTTCTGAATCGATATTTAACTGGCCGTGGCTCAACAGAATCGGTTTGCACAGATATGTATAGCAAAGTGAGATCCGCCCGCAGCGGCATCTGTTGAAACGGATGTGTTTAAATGTCAGGGACCTTTGACCGGCGCTGTGAACATAATCTGAAGCGAAACCCGGCATCAAAGTGACTGTGTGTTCTCGGCGCTAAAAAGATCTGGGGGACACACGGAGGTAACCGACTGGTGTGGATACGTTTACACTGACCGCTACATGTGCAGGTCAGCGGCTCCACTATATTTGGTTCAGCTGACTTAGAATTAGCCCAGGTCTGTGCAGCGGCAGTAGAGACAACATAGCACGGATACACCTATTCGGGGGGACTTTTAGGAGCAGGGAAGGATAAAATATCCAATTGGATTCGATACACAGTTAAAACAAAGTGAGCTGAGCTTTAGAGGACTTCATCCATTAGAGTTTTCTCCATTATTAGCTCATGGAAGTTGTGCTTGTTAATGTTGTGTCATTCCAAACCTGATGGCCTGCATATTCAGTGCAATGTGCCAAGCTACAGTTTAATTTTAGCTCTTTAATTTTCATCTGCCCAAACCGTCACTTCTAATTTGTGGAAATTTTACTTCAGGTTTACAGAAGAACATCTGACTTTACATGATGCCATTTCAGAATTTTGAGAGAACTGTAATACATGCTGCAAAATGTTGCATTATTGAGTAACAGCTGTAAAATGTCACTTAATTACGCAGAAATAGGTTATTTATGTGATTTATGGTGTAGATTTTTTTTAAAATTATTATTAAAGATTATGCATAACCAGACAATCGGACAAAACATCTTAATAAAAACTCAAATTGGTCCAAGAAGAAAAAAATCCATTACATTTATAATTATGTGTAATCTTTCTTTGCTAACCTGCCCCACGTTAGACAGAATTAGCCAGACTGCTTGTGCAATTCCTGATCTGCCAGGTTACACACATGAAAAAGTCCTTTGCAAAACAAAACTAATTAATTAAGATGCCAAGTTGTAATTTTGCTTTTCTTCTTTCTCCTTTCAAATTTGTTCCTTTTTTTTTTTTTTTTTTAATCTTTAAATCAAAGGGCCACCAGCGCACGTCAGGACGCCACTGGAATGGACATCACCAGCCGCTGTACCCTGGGGGACCCCAACAAGCTGCCTGAAGGGGTCCCCCAGCCGGCACGCATGCCTTACATATCGGACAAACACCCACGGCAGACGCTGGAAGTGATCAATCTGCTGAGGAAACACAGGGAGCTGTGCGACGTGGTGCTGGTGGTGGGCGCCAAGAAGATTTACGCTCATCGTGTGATCCTCTCCGCCTGCAGCCCGTACTTTAGGTATGAGAAGGCGCTCTGCGGTTTCCCCCCCTGCCCCCGGCACGTTTTCCATTAATTTAAAGGTCAAAAATCCGGAGGTCCTGAGGATTGGCTTCAGTAGTATTGAATCTGTGTTTCGGTGGTCTCCTTAGGGCGATGTTTACTGGGGAGCTGGCAGAGAGCAGGCAGACTGAAGTGGTTATCCGTGACATTGATGAGCGAGCCATGGAGCTGCTCATTGACTTTGCCTACACCTCACAGGTAGGAAGGACGGCGCTTGTTCACGGTACAAAAAAAAAAAAAGAAAATTTGCGTGCACATGCTGGTGGAAGCTGAAAATCTGGAGATTTTATAGTTTATTCTTCTGAGTTTAGATCCGCTGGCGCTTTTAAAGTGGCTTCTTTTCTTGCTAGTTCGAATTACGTTTTAAATAAAAGAGTTATGAGGATTTATCTCCTGTGTCGGCTTGATGGGAAAAAAATACGTAAACCTTATTCGTGTTTGGCCTTTTAGGTGACAGTGGAGGAGGGGAACGTCCAGACGCTGCTTCCTGCCGCCTGTCTTCTCCAGCTGGCTGAGATCCAGGAGGCCTGCTGCGAGTTTCTAAAGAGACAGCTGGATCCATCCAACTGTCTGGGCATCAGGGCCTTCGCCGACACCCACTCCTGTCGGGAACTGCTGCGAATCGCAGACAAGTTCACACAGCATAATTTTCAGGAGGTAAAAAACATCGATGCAAGAAGAGGAGAAGCGCTTTTACATTTTCTGTTGTTCGTATTGATCCTGTCCTAAGCTCTGCCATGGGAATTGCTTTTAATGGAGACGCAGCGCATTACTGTAGTGATTTAGATTTGCACATCTTCTCCATGGAGGCACCACTCCTTCTGCTTAAAGAGGAGGACAAGCTCATGGGAGCTAGAGAGACCTGGGTTCCACTTAGGAGGAAATGCTTTTGTTTACTATCTGCTGAACAGTCACAATGCAAATGTGCAGAAATGGCATTCAGTGTCTTTTTTTTTTTTTTTTTTAATATACCATCATTATTTCTGCTGTTTCAAGCAGATGTAAAATATATCTGGTCAAATAGATCCTCAACCAGTTTTCTTAATGTATTTTTTAAATTATCATTGTGAATCTTTGCAAAAATAATCCAGTAGGGAAGCAGCAGAAGAGAACATGCCTCTGACTTTGCTAGAGTCTACGGTGAAATATGTGGAACGTTTAATTCAGTAACCGTTATTTTGACTTTTCTACTCTCATTATTACAATGACAGGCTTGTTGTGAGATTAATTCTGTTGACGAGTGATTTAATTGTATATAGGTGTCCATCTTCCATTTCAGTTAGTCCACAGAAAAAGAACATTTATAGAAAATAGTGGTTTGCCTCTGGTGTGGTGCTCCCACGTCTCCTGGTCATTTTATGACGATACATGATTGGTGCTGCTGTTCATTTCTTAGGTCCTTGGACCTATAAGACACTGCTGCCTGTATTGTTTGGATTTACACACTTTGGAAAGTATGACATGTCAAATCCTGAAATGGTAACTGAATATGAAAAATTCCAGAGTGAAATTATTTCAGAACTTCACACTAATCAGAGCTGATTTACTGAGTCCTCCTCTGCGTGTGATTGCAGGTAATGGAAAGTGAGGAGTTCATGCTGCTTCCTGCCAACCAGCTGATTGACATCATCTCCAGCGATGAGCTGAACGTGCGGAGCGAGGAGCAGGTTTTCAACGCCGTAATGGCATGGGTGAAATACAGCATCCAGGAACGCAGACCCCAGCTGCCCCAGGTTTGTTGGAGTATTGTTGCCGCAGGAAGCCGTGCGGTTAGCGAGTGGTAATTCAGGACGTTCTGGATCATTTAAAACGTCTGATTGTTGGTTTTTATCCTGAGATAAATCTGGTAGTTTCGTTGCATTTCTTTTTGTTTATTGCTTCAAAACAATGTCTGCATTTCGGTACGTTTAGGCTTCAATATGAGCTTCGTTATTTCCTTATTGGTGTTCAGATGAGACACATGATGCCCCTAATGTGTCTCTGCAGGTTCTGCAGCATGTGCGTTTGCCATTATTAAGCCCCAAGTTTCTGGTGGGGACCGTTGGTTCAGACCCCCTGATCAAAAGTGATGAAGAGTGCAGGTGTGTGTGTTTTTTTATTTTTATTTTTTTAAATTTTTATTAAGATTTCTTGAAACAAATGATAGTTTTTGTAACATAGATATTCAATGGTGTGAAAAAGTGTTTGCCTCCATCCTGATATCCTATTTTTTATTTTTTTGCAAGTTTGTCACACTTCAGTGTTTCAGAACATCAAACCAATTTAAATATTAGTCAAAGCCACACAAGTAAACACAAAATTGAGTTTTTAAGTGAAGATTTTTATTATTGTAGCCCAGTGTGGAAAAGTGGTTGCCCCCCCGCCCCCCCACCCTCTCGGTCCCCAGTTTGACTGCAGTTGTTGCTGCTCCCTTAATAATAATCACGTTATTTTAAAAACTGAATTTTCCCCTTACTTGTGGAACATTTTGGACTCGTATTTAAATTGGTGTTATGGTCTGAAACACCGAAGTGTGACAAACGTGAAAAAACAACAACAAACAAACTAGGAAATCAGGAAGCAGTCAAACATTTTTCCACATCACTGTACATTCCTGTTGATCTATAGGAAAATAAAATAAACAGAGACATGATGTAATTTCTCCACTGTTTCAGAGACCTGGTTGATGAGGCCAAAAACTACCTTTTGCTTCCACAAGAACGGCCGCTGATGCAGGGCCCCAGAACCCGCCCTCGGAAACCCATTCGATGCGGAGAAGTTCTTTTTGCAGGTCAGGAACAGCAAAGAAAAACAGAAACAACCCGAAATTCAATTGTTTATCTCTCACGGTATTTCATATGTTGTTAATGTGTGAAATTTAAAAAATGTTAGTATTTAGGTCCTAATTTAAATGTATGTTTTTATGCTGTTCTGTTCTGCAGTTGGCGGCTGGTGCAGCGGAGACGCCATTTCCAGCGTGGAGCGCTACGACCCGCAGACTAACGAGTGGCGCATGGTGGCCTCCATGAGCAAACGGCGATGTGGAGTCGGCGTCAGCGTCCTCGACGACTTGTTGTACGCGGTGGGCGGTCACGACGGCTCTTCGTATCTCAACTCTGTGGAGAGGTTGGTGCCACAACGGCTCGCGTTCCCTTTACAAGCCGATCACCCAAAATACTGCCGTTTAGGTTGGTGAAGGAAGGAATGAAAATCTCTTTAAAGCAGCGCTTGATTTCCACCTGTGCAGATACGATCCTAAAACCAACCAGTGGAGCAGCGACGTCGCCCCCACCAGCACTTGTCGAACCAGCGTGGGTGTTGCTGTACTGGGTGGATTCCTGTATGCTGTCGGAGGACAGGATGGAGTGTCTTGTCTCAACATTGTTGAAAGGTTTGTCCTTGTGCATAAATTGAGCTCAGTCTACCTTTTTTTTTTACACTTTATTAAATATTTAATTTTGTAGTTGTTCTCAATCCCTGCCTGTAAACAGACATTCCTAATGAGAATTGGAAGCAGTAATTGAAACTGACTTTGCTTTATCTCTTATTTTACCGGAAATAAGTTCCTGTGTAGTTGATTAACTGTATCTTAACATAACTTCCTTCTAGGTATGACCCAAAGGAAAACAAGTGGACTCGTGTGGCCTCAATGAGCACCAGGCGGCTTGGTGTAGCTGTCGCTGTGCTGGGAGGATTTCTTTATGCTGTCGGAGGGTCTGATGGGACATCGCCTTTAAACACGGGTACTTTACCTCGTAAAAGGGCAATAAAGACCTCTTTCAACAACTTCAGCAGGAATAAATTTAGATAAAAACCTCTTTTTCCAGACTGCTAAAACCTACTAAGCTCCAAATGTTGTTGTTTCTGCCGTCTGAAACAATACCGTTTTATTTCCGTCCATTTTTTTCTGCCGCCAGTGGAGCGCTATAACCCTCAAGAAAACCGCTGGCACACGGTGTCTCCCATGGGAACGAGACGGAAGCACCTCGGATGCGCGGTCTACCAGGACATGATCTACTCTGTCGGGGGCAGGGACGACACCACGGAGCTGAGCAGCGCAGAGAGATACAACCCCAGGACCAACCAGTGGTCGCCTGTTGTCGCTATGACGTCCAGACGTAGCGGGGTCTGTATCTGAGGTTAAAACGCTAGATTAATAAACACCGAATGACTTTGGGTTGTTGTTGTGTGACACAAAGCTGTAAATGTGTGTGTCTGCAGGTGGGCTTGGCAGTCGTGAATGGTCAGCTGATGGCGGTAGGAGGCTTCGATGGGACAACATATTTAAAAACTATAGAAGTATACGACCCGGACGCCAACACATGGAGGTAAGTCCTTTTGATTTCATCTTTAAAATGAGGAGCAGTTAGTAGGTTTGTCAAAAATGTATATTGGATTAGTTGTTTAAATGTCTTTTTATTTGTTTTGAGTTTTAATTTAAATCTCATCTGACTGATGAAGCCTTTGTAGGCAGAAGGAGACTGTTTGGAGTATCAAACAATGACATGGAGGTTTTATAAAACTTTCTATGCAGCTCACACCTATGATGATTTATCTGAATGCAGCTTCCTGCCTCGCCATCTAAAGCACCTGCTGATCTAAAGTTGCAGATTGAGTAAAGATAATTCCTAGTAGACAAAAAAAAAAATCTCTATATATTGTTGTGGCTAAAAGTTATTGTGATTGTTGATGGACTGATTAGGAGATACAGCAACATCATTACAGGTATCTATGAAACTGATCCACTTCCTGATTTCTGCTGAAGAACAGAATTTAATGTAGCATGACGCTGCCCCCACCTTCTAACTCTGTGGGGATGATGTGGTTTGGGTGATGTGCAATTTTGCTTTTCCACAAAATGCATTTTACCGGTGTGCCGTAAAGCCACAAGACTTTGCCATATTTGTTATGTCCATCAAGCAATCAAGTTTATTTGTACAGCACACAATGACTGATTGTGGTCGGAGTAACAGATTCTTCTACCTGAGCTGTAAATCGCTGCAGGTTCTCCACTCCCTTTCCCCATGTCTGTGAGTCTAGGTGTGCAAATACATGTTTGGTAGATCTGCTGGTGTGCAAAACTCCAGGCTATGTCGTAGGCCATGCTCAGTCAGATGTTCAATGCTTGAGATTTTGTTCATTAACGTAACCCTGCTTTAAACCTGGTTTTCTAACTAAGAGCCTTCTGGAAGAATTCACCTGACATCATCGTATCTTATGTGACTTGATTCCGTCAGCTTGGTGTTTGTACACTCTTACTTTTTCTCCAGGTTGTACGGTGGAATGAACTACCGCCGGCTAGGTGGAGGAGTGGGCGTCATCAAAATGACTCACTGTGAATCTCACATATGGTAACGGCACCCCCCGCACCCCCTTCATGCGTCGCTCGTCTCGCATACTTTCACTTCTCATGACGTCTCGATGGATCTTCAAGCAGCTCTCGTGCCTCTAAAAGAGACAAGGATAAGAGAAACGTGGGAGTGGGCATCTTGAGCTCTGGTTCATCCCCGATCGTCACTCAGAGGTCATTAAGTTCATCCTGGCTGTTTTTTATTTTTTTATTATTATTCCTCTGATCAACCATGCTCATTGAAAACTGCAGAGGGAGCAAAGTTTACAGAACCTCACTAAGCTTCCAGTTCGGACGGAAGCGTAAGGAGTTTTCGTCGTCCAAGCCTCGCGGCCTGGATTTGAATCGGCATGTGCGGCAGACTGAGGGCGCCACGCACGTCACTGCTACCGGAGGGACATAATCTGATCTGCCAGTTTCAGAGGAGCAAGGATGTCAGAAAGAACTGATTCACTAGACGAAGTTTGTAAGAACCTCGGCCACCTAAAGTGACTTTTTTTTTTTTTTTTTTTTTTTTTTCAAATCGGCAGCCACCAGAATATTGTCTTCAAGAGACAACGGTGCACACCGACCGTCAGGAACGAATCTGTGCTTTGTCTCGGTCTGTTGTAGTTTTTAAACTTACATCTCAGCTGTGGCTTCACAGCTTATGCCACGTTTTTGCTGGGTTGAAACTTAATACGATAAATTGTTACAGGCCTGTACAGTTGGATGTAACAGGCAAGTCGATGTAAATGGGACTGTAACTGTTAACATTTTTAGAGTCAAGTTAAAACGGTGTAGTTGGAGAATGAAAAGAAACCAGGATCATCAAATAGTGTCACTGTTTTGTTTTTTTTAATTTTTTTTTTTTTTTAAGGTAATTCCAGGGCTGAATCTTAAAGGCATAATAACTGTGATTTAACATGAACATTAAGTTTAAGTACCTTCCACACAACTCATCTGTCCCAGATGACAAATGTTTGAATTTACCTCCATAAGTAAGCAGACACTTTTCCATCAAAGTCGTAATGAGTTTACCTTAAAATGCTGATGGTTTTTGTTTTTAAACCTAAAAAAAAAAAAAAAAAAAAAAAAAAACTATTATCTTTAGCAAATAAAAACAAGCAATTTCCGCTGTTGAATAATTTACATTTGACGTAGGACTGAAAGAAAACTTAATGAAGGATTGTATCGCCTGATTCAGTAGGCGAATAGTTTGCTGAATAGTTTTGTTCTGGGGAAAACGGTAGGACTGAAGAACAAGTCTGTAGTGTCAGAATTGATTCTTCCTCTTCAGTGTGGTAATAAGGTAAAACATGTGCAACTTTAAAGTTGCCAGAGGGGGAAAAAAAAAAAAAATTTAGTGCTTAGAATTCAGCTTAGCGTGAAAAATCTAACCAACGTGGATCATTTTAAGAAATGACACCATTGTTCTCCCTTCTTTTGGGTCATCTGGGTTACCGTAGACTCATTCAGGCACGCCATTATCCATCTCCATTTAGATTCATAATGTTCCCATTTCCATTATCCGGAAACTTGTGTTGCATTATTTTTAAGTCTGTGCTCAAAACATCTGCTCTAAACGCAGTAAAAACGAGTTTCTGTAAAAGTGATGAATAAAGTAGCACTAAAGGTTCTGATATTGGTTTAACAACCATACGATTTTTATGGCACAAAACCATGGTCTGCTCCTTGCTTTGTTGTCGTTTTTTTTTTTTTTAACTGAAGTTGCCGCTAACAGTGGTGCCACCTACTGGAGAAAAAGTATGTTACACTAAATCAAAAGGAGTGGCTGATCTCAGCTCGGTGTAAGAAAGCGTAGACGTGGAAAGCGGTTTGGATACATGCATTGCACTGTGACTGTATTCCAGTTTGAATCTTTTTGCTTTTAAAACTTGTTTTGTGGAGAGCTGGGGGTAGGCTTCCATTTCAAAGAGGAACTTAATATAATCAAAAGTTTAAATTAGAAAATGAGACATTTCAGGATTTTTAGAGCTGGAATCATTTATGAGAAACTCTTGCTGGGATTCGCTCTGTTACACACAGTTCATCTGCTCTCTGTTCCGCTAAAGCAGCGCGCGCGCGCGCACACACACACGCACGCACGCACGCACGCACGCGCGCGCGGCTGGAACGGATGCAGGCAGGTGTAGTTATTTTTAAACACAATTTTCTGTGCGAGAAGGACCTAATCTGAATGTATGTGAATATCCAGCAGTTTGTTGACATGTGTGGAGTTGGCCTTCCAGCAGGTGTTCAGCATAAACCCCCCAGCCGTTTATGCTGTTGAAAGCTCACTTGAACTTTTGAATCGAAACACTTCCTGCCTTTTTGTCTTCTTGGTGGTTTTTTTTAAGCCGACATTGAAGATGGGCTCTGCAGCATGCCATACGTGTATATTTGTTGTGACATATATTTCATGCTGTCAGTTGCTTAACAAAACAAAATGCTGTCTAAATAACTGTGATTGCCTCACAAAAAAAGAAACTGTTCTATTTAAAACTTCGTAAATGTCTCTGCTTTTACCCTGGGCAATCCACTTACTATTCAGTTCTTTTCTCTACAGCGATTATTTACCACAGGCTAATAAACTGCTCTATTCTCAATGTCTGAAATCTTTTCCCTTTACTTTTTAAATTCCTTTTGTCTTCAGTAACATGAAGCTTCTTCATTTCTTAACTGTGTCGATGATTACGTCTTACTTTCACCAAGATGTCATTGTGATTAGATTTCTGCAGAACTAATACTTGTGTACCTGAATCAAAGACTTGTCATAGTTTGTGCCGGTTAAAAGATTACTCTGTTAATCACGTTTAAGAATTTAAAAGCTTGCCTCTGAGAGAAAATGTTATTCATCAGATGTATACGAGCCCAGAGTGCATCACGCCCTCTAAACTGTTGCTTCTTCTCTGGCTTTGTTCATTTCTTTGCCATTTAAAAAAAAATCACAAACCAACAAGGATATGTTTTTATGAAAACATGAAGAGTCTGAATGACAGAAAATGAATAAGTGTTTTCAGTATTTCCCCACCGGCTAGAATATTTATTTATTTTTGGTTAAAGAATTTATTTATTAAAGATCTTTTTTTTTTCAAACATAATCAAGAAGTGTTGTACAAGATGGAGTAAAACAATCACAAGAACACAGGCATGTAAAACCAGAGAGAAGAAAATTAGACATAAACAAGAAGATGAAGGGAAATGCTAACACCAGTGTAAATCCTAGTCAGATGACTGGCTAAACTGGCTGGTTTTTAAAGCTACCCAGTGATTAGACAGGGTTGACTTACAGAGTCGTTAACCAGCTTCGTCTCGTCACCAGAAGCGCGATCATCATTGCTACGCCCCCATCGGCTTGTATTTTAAATACCTTGCATTTCGTTGGTGTAGGAAGATGATGCTTTTTTTTTTCTTCTTTTTTTTTTTTTGGATGTGCCAAAAAAGCATTGAGTGAGATGATCATCACAGCTACTGAATTACATACACGCTACTGCATTTACACAACTAATACTTAAACACTACAACAATAATCAAGTAATAGAAATCAATCTAAAGCGACACAATTTTAACCTGCATGCACTAGTGGACATTCTCTCGTATCAGATTGTTGGGTGGTTTAGCATTACCCAGTTCAGCTAATCGACTTCTTAAGAACCCTACTTAGGATTGCAAACTTATTCCCAGATAGAGATGATCAGTTGGCATTAAGCATATATATATATATATATATATATATATATATATATATATATATATAGAAAATACAAAAAGACAGACATGAGTAAAAGTAGTGACACATATGAACTTTGAACTCCATACCATTTACACTACTTCACATGTACTATTCAAACCAGGACTTGACAGGACTGAAGATTTTGCTAAATCAGGTGTGTTTTCTCCAGTTAAGCTGATCTTCAATTCACCAACATACATGGCATGTCAAGTAGTTTGACAAGAACTTAACCCCTCCATAGTCTTAGGAGGGGGCGAGTGGATCCTGCCTGAGCTTTTTACCATGTGTGCGGTCCCGGCCGGGCCACACTGACCCCACCTTCGCTTTTGTGAGTTTCTTTTTTTGCCCCTGTGGTTTTGGGAACTGACGGGACAGCCCTATTACTTCCCCACTGTCTGACCGTGACATCTGCCTCGCTCTTCCTGAGCATCAAGCCAGGAATACGGTTGGTTAATGTTTGTTTTGCCTGCTCTGTACTACACTGTCAAGTCCTAGTATTAGAGTATTTCTTCTAGGAGTATGAATGCATAACATAGAGCAAACTAGAAACGAGCAAAAATCCCAAAGTTTTATCCACTGCTGCTGCATTGATCTATAATACACAGTTGGGCTCATGATGGACAGTTTAGCAGAGAGAGATATAGATCAATATACCCGTGGCAGAGATACTGTATATTGTATTCCTTTTTATTTTCAGTGCCTTTGCTCATTTATTTTTTTTCATGGTTGCTAAAATAGCCTTTATTTCAATAGCTCTGGCTCCAGAATCATGCGAAGCTCCTCTTTTCCTAGCTCTGCAGTGTTGTACTAAATTAAACTGAAAAAAGAAGTCCATTCAAACAGAGTAGATTTTAAGAGATTTTAAGTCATTGATTTTTCAGGCCTGCAGTAAATTCCATAAAAAGAGAAGAGACGTGAATACTTAAGGTTGGTGATGGTTTTAGCTTTCACCGCAAACCTTTGTTTATCCGTCCTTCCTCTGTCTTGTGGATGTATATTTACAGACCCCCTAAGACTCGACGCTGCGCTGGCCTGAAAAGTAAGCAGGGATGAGTGAAAGGTAATAGGCTTCTATATATGTTGTGCCCCAAAGGCTGTGCGAACAGACTCCTAACACACCTACAAGCTCCCACTCATCTGAAGGAAAGCAAACATTCACACATCCCTGCTTCTTGGCTCTCTTTCCTTTTCAGTGCTGCTTCTTTCTCCATCCCATCCTTCTCCCTTAACTGTCTCATAAATGTACACTGAGCCCAAGGCTGCAGGCTATTCTTCACTGAACAATCTCCTGCTCACTGTGTCCGTCTCAGAAGAATCACCTACCCTCTAAAATATACACCGAGCTATGAAACCTTTGCCCTGGGCACATCTCCAAACAATCTGAAATGAACTTATATTGGTTTGTGCCTCAGCTGGAACCTGACGCTGCAGCTGTGTGTATACTCCAAATGTATGGCTGTGTCACCGGGGCTTTCTCGCCGTCTCGCAAGAACTTCTAACCTAAACAGTGATCCAGAAATACAATCTGCTGCCTACTCTGTCCTGTTCCTGACCATCCCCTCCGCAGAGAACGCAAGAACTGGAGATGAACTGACACGAAGGAAAAGGTTGTGTTTATTCATCCGGCTTTGTAATGCAGGGTATCTAAATGCAAAATTACGCTCACACCAACTCTGTTCTTGCTTTTATTTCTGTTCTCTGCAACAACAAAAAAACAAAAAAAAACAGCGTGCCGCTGCGGAGGGGATTTTAAAAATGCAGTTGGCTTAAAAGGCAAATTTCGTTAGAAGAAAACCTGAAATCCTTCCATATGTGAACCATGAATTAATCACGCTCGGTGTCTTATCATTGTTTTTCAAAGCAGATAAAAAAATTCTAAATGTACTTTTCTAACATGAAGGGAATCTTTGGAGGTGGATATCACGCATCAAAACAAGTTTTACTCTTCATATATATATATTTTTTTGCAAAGGACTTTGATGCAACTGTTGTTACATAAGACTGAAATCTTGTGCGAATAGATACACTATTTTTGTCATTACAAAATAGATTTATACTGGGACATTTAGGTTCTTGCCTGCACTGCCATGTTATAGACAAGCAGTTCACGGCAACACAGTTGTTGCAAGAAACGGGAGTGCTGGAGCCCAACTGTGTTCACTAGAGGAAA